TGTATCTAGGCTGAGAGAGTATCCCTCCATAGGGAATGGGCTCCCAAAGCCCATTCGTGCACTAGACATAAATACTGGTTCCACTGCCAGAGGCCCCATAGACTGCCCAAGCCCCCCAACTGACACCCACGTTCAGGGTGCCTGGTTCCATCCTATGCTGGCTACAGCTGTCAGACTGGGGTCCGTGCGCTTCCACTTGCTCAGCTGTTTCTGTGGGTTTCCCCAGAATGGTCTTGACCCCTTTGTTCATCTCCTCCCTCTCTACAACTGGTATTGGGGACTCCAAAAAACTTGAGTTAATGAGTCATACCTGATAATATTTATTACATTAAAAATAGAACTGAAAAACTATATCAATTCATTTAAAAAAAAAAAACAGTAAATCCATGCTGCTGTAAAGATGGCTCAGTGGACAAGAACATTTGATGCTCTTTCAGATGACCAGTTAGTTCCCAGCACCCACACCAGCGAGCTCAGAACAGACTATAACTACAGCTCCAGGCGACCTGATGCCCTCTTTTGCCTCTTTGGGCACCCACACACATGCAAACATGTGCAAACAGATACATACATACAAATAAAAATCTTTTTAAAACAATAATAAATTCTGATTCTGCCTTCAGCCCATAGCCCATATGCCATAAAACATCTAGAAAATTACATATTCTTATGAGAGACTGAGAGCAGAAAAGGTCAATTCTATCATAGTGCCATCTTGAAAACCAGTAAGGCCTTAAGAGTCCTCTGAAATGCTCTCCTGGATCCCCAAACATACTACAGTTACTTCCTTTTTCGTTTCTTTTTTTTTTTTTCCTTCTTTGTTTGTTTTTTGAGACAGGGTTTCTCTGTGTAGCCCTGGCTGTTCTTGAACTCTCTTTGTAGACCAGGCTAGCCTCGAACTCAGAGATCTGCCTGACTCTGCTTCCTGAATGCTGGGGTTAAAGGTGTGTGCCACCACTGCCTGGCCAGTTACTACCCTTAAAGCAGCATTTTCATGAAAATAGCATTCTAATGGATGTGATTGAGGAAAATACCTGACATCTCCCTCCTGCTTACACACATGTGTACACATATGTGCACACTCACACACACACACACACACACACACACACACGCCTGTACATTCAACAGATGGTAGACCACAACACCACATGCACATATACACAAAATAAAATTATATGTGTATCTTTATATGTGTATATGTGTGGGTTGCAGAACTGAAAAAAAGGATTCGTGGCAGGGAGGAAGACTATTGAGCTGGGTGGGAACTAGAAAAGGCAATAGAATACGTGTGACAGAGAGCAAAAGTGGGAGTCAGATGGGAGGCTTAGAACGTGGAGGGGGAGCAGTGGGGCAGCCAGAGGTGTAAGAACAGAGTACAGTGATCCATGTATGAAAATACCATGATGAAACGCATTCTTTTGCATGCTAACCTAACAAATTAATTTAAAAGGAGGTCAGGTGGCTAAATAAGCATGTGCAAATATCCAACTTCACTTAGCAAAGAAATAAATAAAAGGGAGAATAACTCACTTATGAGATTTTTCCAGTTCTCACATTATGAAATTAAGTGGTGCTAATACACTTTCTCATTTTCCCCAGTGTCGTTAGATGCCCTAAAAATGTATAAATGCTGTGCCAAGGAAGTCCTACCATTATGACTTTATTGCAGAGCAAACCAATGGGAAATCTCTGATAGGATGTATGGGTGCTTACTCAGACAGCCTCGTTTGGAATGCCAAAGCTAGGAACAGAACTTTGTGTAGTAAAAAAAAAAAAAAAAAAAAAAAAAAAAAAAAAAAAAAAGAATGGCTTTCAAAAACGGTGTCTCCACACCCAGAATGATGCAGCCCCACCCATGAGTTCTGGTCAGTGGATCTGAGAAGTGAGTTTAAAATGGAGGCTACAGTCTCATTTATTCAAAATGATAGGATTTTAAAAGTAAAACCAGTGCATATTAACGTGTATGTACAGGCACATTACAAAACGCATCAGAGAGACAGTGGGTCACTGGGTAATGGCAATTTTCTGTTTGTCTTTTATTTTAACTTCTGCATTAGGTCTGGATTAATTGGGTGATAAATGTAATGTTTAAAATACTTCAAGGTGAAAGCTGGCTAGAGCAATACATGCCTCTAGACCTCCCTACTCAAGAGGGTTAGACCGAAGGATCACAAGTTCAAGCATAGCCTGGGCAACATAGCAGAACTCCATCTCAACAGCAAATATAGATGAACAAATCTCACTCTTCCAAGGTGGGAAATTAAGAGAACTGGTAGTAAAGAAAGGGGGAGGGTACCCTGATCAGTAAGAGGGCACCATTTCTCAGGGCCCCTCGGGAGCTGAAAGAGCCTATGTGTGTGTGCCTCACCTGAGCCGTCAAAACCAGTTGGAGGTAGCAGAGCTGTGGTAACTGACCTTGGCAATTGGTTAAAGCCACAGGGAATGATAGTTGTAATACTACTAAGCAGTTATTGTTTGTTAGGCTCCTCTAGATGACCATATGGAGTTATCTTTCTTAATCCCCATAGCAACCCAACCAGATCCCAGGAGCTAACATCTACTGGAGGCCTCCACAGCTTGGGTAACTTGCCTGATCTACTGTACTGTGATGGAGCCAGAATGAGGCCCAGGTGCTGTGACACTGGACCATGGCCACCAGTCACACCAGCTGCCCATTTAACATGCAGTATTCTTTTTGCCCAATTTTTTTTTTTTTTTTGCTCTGAAGCAAATTGTAGGGTGAGATCATTTTAGGTTATCAATCAAGTCAAAAAGTTGCCATTCAGTGAAAAAAAATGTTATGGGTTTTCAGATCACCTGATAGTCAAAGGACAAGAAAGACGTTTGTGCTGCTATGTACTTTGTCAGGGTCCAAAGACTTTCAGCAAATGGGAGTCACAGTGAAGTGTGAGTCCAAGTATGCTGGGGTACTTGCAAATGATGGCCTCCTGCCCCAGCTTTCTCTCATGCAGGCGGGTGAAACACTGAATTTAGAAAATTAAATGATTCTGAAAATCCTCTGTTAAACTAGCTTAGCTTACTAAACGCCACTTCAACAGAAAGAGGGAGCCTCAGACTCAGTTCCTCAAATCCTTGGCTGCCCCTCCCCTTGACAAAGGAGCAGCCGGAAGAACCTGTGTCCCCATGTTCCTGCTGTCAGCTGTTGCCTCGTGTGACTGTACAAACCTATAGCAGGATACATGAATGAGCTAAAAGGTTGAAATAGAGTGTTCAGGCTTTGCCTATTAGCAAAACACTTCGTGGGTTGTTTTTCCATAGTGGCCAAAGCATCGTTGCCATGACATGCCTTTTGCGTACAAAATAAGCAGAGATCAAAAATGTAATCTTTGCAATTCAAGTATTAGGACCATCACATATTCATGCCACAAGTTTAATACATTTCTACTTACCATGTAATATTTAAGCCATATGGCTATTTTTTCAGATTGACCTGTGATTTCTCAGTGAATATTTTTTACGAGAGAAGAGTAATTGCAGTTCATTGCCTGGAAAGGGAAAATTGATATTAGTTGAAATAAACCTTGTCTGGATATGGTTTGAGAGAACCAGTTTTCATCAACTGAAGTTTAAGAAATAGAAGGTTATATATAAATGCATCAGCAAATGTGTATGGCAGGGACTGATGAATCTGTTCAAAACAAAGGAAACCACACAGGGGGTGATGTCTTTTCTGTCTTTGGGTTTGGGTCATTCATTCTCTCTTGGCATTCAAGAGGGAGTGGTGCTGGCAGGATGGGCCTGCCAGACAGACTATGGAAGGTTATCTTCCCAGTTGATATGTGTTTCTGTCACCGCTCTCGGCTTACTTAACTGTTAATCTGTTTTCTACGGGGGCTCAAAATCACAGTGGGCTCCCTGGCCGGAATTTGAGATGAGACCTTGGATTTAATTACAATCAAAACAGACTGGGTTGGTCATTTATCTTGATTGAAAAGACCACACTTCAGTGGAATCAGTCTCACTGGAGGGACAGTTAGGTCAGGCTCATCAAGTGTCACACAGACAAGTGGCCCAAGCCATCCCACCACTAAGGATGCTGAGCTCTGCAACCTCCTTGCTACCCTCTGACCCTCTCAGCGGCTCATTATTTTTTTTGCCTTGGAATTATGTTTTCCACACTGAGTTTTTCTCTCCAATCCTCCATTTGAAAAGTTAAAACAAACTTCTTTGTGAATTGGCATGATATGTATTTCTGAGAAATATTAAGGATTAAACTTGGATTTTATGATAAAGTCCTCATTCTAAAAAAGTCTGCTTTTGTACCTTTTCTTGGAACTGCACTGTGACTTCAGTGTCTCTTCATGCTTTGTCACGTGACCCCAGTGAAGGAGAGAAGCTGCATTGTAATTTTTGCATCCTGAGGGACTTTTCATACAGCTTTGGTTTGAATGCAGATCCACCTCCCGGCTTCCCCTTGAATTGGGCAACTCAGTTTTCATCCATAAGGAGTGGAATAGCTGTCCACTTACTCTGACTTTCCCTGGAAACACAGGGCAGGGTTTTGCTTAGGTATATTCATTCCCTGAGCTCTGGGGGCCCATGCCTTCCCTCCACACTCAGGGTCTCACTGCAACAATGTAGTGTGTAGTGCAGAACTGTCTCAGGAGCTAACTACAGAGTCCTTCCAGGACACCAGAGGTGTTGTCCTTTAGCCTTCCTGCCTTCCTTCGAATGCTTCTCTGCACGCCCCGTTCCCCACCTCCCACCCCGCCCTCTCATCTCTCATTACGTGGCTGCAAGCTCTTCAGAAACCCAAGGAAGAGAACTTCCAGTTCTCAGAGAATAAATTTAGACATTAACATTGTGACAGCCCTGAAGGAGGAAAAGTTTGTGCCCAGCCATCTTACCAGTTTCAGTTTCTGTAAAGAACAGTTTCTATTACTGGGCACAGTGTCCTATGTGGCCTAGACATGACCAAGAACTGCCTTTAAAATTATAGAGTCTAAAAGAAACTCAGAATTTTTCTGGACTGAATTATCTCATGCTTGCTAGATTATAAAACTTATTTGTATGAGATTCCTGTGTGTGCAAATGTGTTTATCTTCACATCTATGTGCGTTTCTTGTGCTTCTTCTTTGACTTCTTTTCTTCTGTTTGTTTTGTCCTATTCTAGTTTGTTTGGTTTTGTTTTATCTTATTTTATAATTATTCTTTAGATGCCTGTTTGTTTTCTAAGGGGAAATAGAAGGGTTTGGAGTTGGATGGGCAGAAAGAATCTCAGAGTAGTTAGGGGAGAAGATACCATAATTAGCGAATGCTGTATGAAAAAAAAATGTTTGTTTTGTTTTGTGTTTCAAGACAGGGTTTCTCTCTTGTAGCACTGGCTGTCCTGGAACTAGCCCTTTAGACTAGGTTGACCTCAAACTCACAGAGATTTGCCTGCCGCTGCTTCTAGAGTGCTGGGATTAAAGGTGTGAACCACTGCCCAGCTTGAGAGATATCTATTTTCAATAAAAGAAAAATAGAGAAAAATTACCTATACTTGTTAAATAGTGGAAACAGCCAGGCCTTGCCCTACCAGCAGTCCATGCTCTTGCTCTAAGGTAGAGTCGTAGGCATCTGTGTTTTATCGTTTCAACAAGCACACCCAGGAATTCTCAGGATGAAGCACATTGTAGAACCCTGGCTTCTTATAACCACTGACCCTAAAGTCAAAGAAATTTCCAGATTAATCAGCCTCGCTGAGCCGCTCCACGGGCAAGAATGCCAGCCCAGTAGTTCGCTCTGCGTATTACACGACCTGTGTGTTGTTTTCCAGCCACCCATCCTATCCACAGATCCGTACCCATTTCTTGGGGGCTGTTGTGGAAGTAGAATGAGAGATGCTTTGTGAGCTGTAAAGCTTCGTAAACTACAAGCAGGCACTAAATGGCTAGCCCACGATGTCAGCTCCCGACTTGTGCTACGTAGTTCCTGGTCACTCTTCAGTGCTTTGTTGAAATGCTCTGAGTTTGTTTCTGCCCACTAGAAACTGCCTGTTGATTCTGAAGGATAAGAAAGAGCCCTGCTTCTCTGGTTAGTTCCTGGCCAATTTCAAAGCCCACACCTTTGCTTTTCCTCTGGTTAGTGCTCCAATGGACCCACTGAGTACCCGCAGTCTCACCAGAGTGGAGACTCACTGAGTTATCTCTCTGCAGGTGTGAAATTGAGGCAACCCTTGAGAGGCTGAAGAAACTAGAGCGAGACCTCAGCTTTAAAGAGCAGGAGCTCAAAGAACGGGAGAGACGCTTGAAGATGTGGGAGCAGAAGCTGACCGAACAGTCCAACACCCCGGTGAGTACGCCACCTAGTGGTTTCTTGCAGCACTCCGACGCCTGGCTGAGCATGGCCGCAGGGCTAATCTCCCCACCTCCTCAGGCTCTTCCCTGCCCTGCTCCTGAGAATTAAAGGCCTGCATTGGTAGTAAGGAGTATAAAACACCAAAACGTCACATATTTAAAGGGAAAAAACCTATTTAAGAGAAAAATCCCTCCTCTGGACCTTTCTTTAAGAACTGCTGTTCCCTCGGTGCATTCGTTTGTTCAGGTTACTAGAATAAAATCTAATGTGTTTTTGGACCATCTGTTAGGTCCTTAGAACACTGTTGGAAGGCTGCCGTTCGGCATTGCACTTAGAGGCCATCAGTAATTAATAACTGCAACTGCAAGGCAGCCAGGAATATTTGGGTGTGTCAGAACTTAACCACATTTTCTTTCTAAGATTGAGCTGGCCCGCTGACAGTGATGGCGAGCATTAATATTCCTTATTAATTTAGTGCTGTGATTATGAGCAGCATAAATGGGGAAAGGACTTCTCCTGGGACAGGAAACTGGCTTGCTCTACCTCTAGGAAGACCCTTGTTCTTTCCCAAGTCCAGAGGAGCCCTGGCTCTTTATCTTCTAACCATCCTTTTATCATTCTTCTAGATTTTAAATAAGGGTTACTTTTCAGGAGGCAAGAAAAGCACAGGATTGGTTTGTCTAGAATTTTCAGTAGGCAATGTCTATCCACTTCAAATCACAAGAAATGAGAGATTAAAAATAGTTATTGACAAATAGGTCAAGAAGAAGGTTAAATGCCCTTCTCTTTGTGTTCCTCAAAGACCTTTTCTATCTAGATAAATCCTAGCCTCCATTGAGCAGCCTAAGACAGATTGTAATGTCTTCCCATGTCTAAAGAATAGGAGAATCTGTCTCTACTTCAATTCCTATGGAGAAGCAATCTGATGCCCCTAACCCCTAAAAAGGAGAGTGCCTCTTAATGTTACAGATTTACCCTTTTCAAAAAAATGCCTTTGGTAATCCCAGGAATGCCAGGTTAGAATTGAATTGCTGTACATAGTACTGTCATGAGATAGTAAAAAGGTACCTCACTTTTGTTAGTGAGTCCCGTGAATTTAACCAGACTCTCAAGGAAGGGGTAAAGGGGTGAGTTTCCTGTTCAGAACGGGATGGTGCCAGCTGGATGCAGCACCCAGGACTGGTGAAAGAGCCCTGCTTATCAGGAGCAGGTGGGAGCAGGAGCAAGAATGCAGCCTTGTCCCTAGAGCCCTGCGCTGAAGGCTGAGGGCTGTTTTGTTTTGCTTTTTAAGTGCATTGAAACCTTAACTGTAAAGCACCGCATGGCTTGACTCCCTCTAAATGCAGTATTGTCAGGAAAACTTTCAACCGCCTATTAGAGTGTGCTTTAGAACCTTGCCTTGGCTTATTGGCATCAGTTTTGCTAAGAAATTATGGGCTGCCTTGCACATATTATTGCTGCTGATAACACAGTTGTGGATTAAAGAATAAAACCCTACGGGTGCTTAGTAGGTTGTATCTTGCGTTTTAACTCCAGAAAACTTAAAGCCAGTGCTTTGCGGGTGGGCCACCAGCTAACAATGGACAGCATGGCGCACAATCTCCGAGAAGTTCCTCCCTTTTTACTTATGAGGCCCAAGTTTTTCCTTTGTTTATAATTCTTGCTTTCAACGTCTAGAGCTGGTGTTTCTAAGGGAAAGGAGTTTGAGCTCAGGTATCTGATGAACAGCTGTTTTCTTTTATCCTCACTTCAGTCTCTAGTGGGCTTTAAACTTGACTGCTGAGAACAAGAGAAATCTTTTTAAAAGAGGCAAAACTGGGCTTTTTTACAGGTAGCATCACCTTAAATATAACAGTCTAACCTTTGCACAACTGCATAAATACGATCAAATTGATTTCGGGTATACTATGTTCCTTCCTAAAACTGAGACGCTGAAGATGTTGGAAACATGAGTTCTCCGTGCGTAAATAGGGATGATGCTTATGTCTAATTATTGTTGCAGCTTGCTGTAAAAAATTTAGAGATGAAGCATTTTTTGAGAAATATTCATGGAGTTCTTTAGAGGCGAACACAATGTGAGAAGAAACCTCGGCAATAATAAATAAGCAGCGAAGAATCCCTTAGAGCTTCTATCAGTCGAAAACCAGCTTGAGAATAGGAGAAGGCTGGTCATAGGGGGTGAGGCCCTGCCCCACAAGTAAAGACCTGAGGCTGGCTGGACCACATGACCTTGACACGGAGCCCACAGTGATAAATTCTCTCCTGATGGAATGAGCTGGTTTTTGAAAACGGAGCTCCGACAGTAACTTGAATTAGAAGACTGGGCCATCATGGTGACTCTGTGGCTAAATGTACTTGCCACTGCAAGCCTGACAACCCAAGATGATTCCCTGGAACCCACAGGGGTAGGAGAGAACTGAGCCCCAAAATTGTCCTCTTACCTCCACGCATGCACCTGTGGCATTCGTGTGCCTGCGACAATAGTGGATAAGTTTTTAAGTTCTTAAAATTAAAAAAAAATGGTACTATTTGGTGCCTTCACACTCAGAATGTTAAGTTTATCCTAGAATTTCATTATCTATGCATTATCGTAAGTTCACACATATGAAGCCATGTGCAAAGTATGAACCTTTGTTTGCTCAGTTCTCAAAAGATGATATGAAAACGTCATTTTTTATGTTCTGACAGTTTTACCATAAAAGAAATAGAACCAGACATTATGAATTAGGTTGGCTGTTGAAAGTAATTACATAAGAAAAAAAAAAAAAAACATCACCACTGTGACAACATGAGAAAGAACTCATAAATGGGAGTTCCGTTGAATGGAGACTTGGGTACTTGTGGCTACAGTAAGGAGACAATTTAAGTGAATCCTAGGCAGTGCCCCCCCCCCATTTCCACATATTCAGTAATTGGCCTAAAGGTTAGAGACAGGATCCAGAATTTATTCCCAGGTGAGTTATATATGAACTTGAATAAATTAAACAGTGTGAGATCTAGCTGGAGTCTGGTAATAAAAGGAAGCAGGCAAAGTGGCCTCAGAGTGTGCTCAAGGCACTAGCCTTGGAAGAAAGGCAGAGTCACCGAACTCCCCAGCCGGACAGACACACAGCCTAACTGCTTCTGCCCTTCCTCTGAGCTCTCCCTTGGGACCGGGTTTCTGAATTTTTTAACTTGAGATTTAAACTCTACTTCATTTCTTCTTTTTTTAATTAATACAGTGGTTAATCAAATGTTTCTATATGGAAGTGAAACTGGGGAAAGTTAAGAGACATCAAAAACTCTATTTTGTTTTAAGCAAAGCAAGGACCAAAAACTGATCCCTACCTGTTCATTTTGAATTTGGCTCACTGTGGTGCTTTGCAGGCTTTCAGATATGATTTACTCTGTCATTGATAAAGTATGGCCAATACACTGGCGCCAAATCTGCCATTTAGGACGCCCTCATCATTCCCCTCCTGTGTAGTACCAACTGATGTTGTGGTGTCTGTCCCCTGATTTAAATTGGTACTAATTTCTCTTTTCACTTCTGTCCTTTCTCCCCCTCTGATAGCTTCTCTTGCCTCTTGCTGCAAGAATGTCTGAGGAGTCTTACTTTGAATCTAAGACAGAGGAGTCAAACAGTGCAGAGGTGTCATGCCAGATCACAGCAACAAGTAACGGGGAGGGCCATGGCATGAACCCAAGTCTGCAGGCCATGATGCTCCTGGGCTTTGGGGATGTCTTCTCAATGAACAAAGCAGGAGCTGTGCTGCATTCTGGGATGCAGATAAACATGCAAGCCAAGCAGAATTCATCCAAAACCACATCAAAGAGGAGGGGGAAGAAGGTCAACATGGCCCTGGGGTTCAGTGATTTTGACTTGTCGGAAGGTGATGATGATGATGGTGATGATGGTGAGGAGGAAGGGAATGATGTGGATAATAACAGTGACTGACAGCAGAAAGTAATAAAACTGAAATGTTTTTTTTTTTTTAATGGAAGAAATGTATTATCTCAGTCTGTGCAAACAGCAGCATAGGGAGGCAAGCACCGAGTACTGCATCTTAGGCCATGCTCACCGAGGGCGGTTTCCTCATCAGTGTGACTTTACTTCTGCACTTAGAAAAGTGCAGCACGGGAATTAAGCTAAAGGCATATTTATTAGCAAGTGTGGTGCCTGGTTATAGAAACGTGCGATTACATACGTACCATGTTCTTAAATGACATTTGGGCCTTTCCGCTTTCAGGTACATACTTGGTAGTTTGTATTTGACTATTTTATTCCTTTCACTCACTCGGTTGGGAAAATGTCCATTTGGAACAAATGCTACTCCTGACTCCGCTAAGGTTCTTCCTTGTACAGTACATTGTAATGGTGGAGGTGATGGATTTCTATAAAATACAGCCACACTAAAAAAGAAAAAAAAAAAAAGCCTGAGATGAAAGGAGATTATTTAAAAGAAAATGCTTCTTCAGAAATACCTAAACACCAAGAATTTACAAACCAAATAGCACACAGCTTGTCAAAGTAAAACCTCTATGGTGTTCACTAGTGACATTTGAAGAGGAAATCCTCTGGGTTTGAAGCAAGCTAGCTTGCATCCCCCATGCTGGGTGGAAGCACTCTAACATGAACACACTGTCACCCTAGGCTTAGCTTGTAGTGCTTTGCACAGAAACAGAGAAACGGGATGGGTCTAGGCATGAGCAAGCTGAGCACTCACCTGCTCTGTACTTCCAATGAAGGCACTCTGTTTCTGTTTCCCAGAGATACATATAATAATATTAGATTTTAATCTATGTGTAGGAAAAATAAACACTATAAATAGGGAAGAAAGTTATCCTTCTTAGGCACAAGTGTGTTCTGAACAGGTCTTTCTGTTAAATGTAGCTATACAGTGTTGCCCCCCCACACACACCTTCTTTACTTTTCACTGAGCTCTGTGATGTTGGTTTGAGAAATCGATTCAGGTGCTACTTATTATGAAGGCCAGGCTACCCAGAGACACTCTCAGAAGACTAGCTTGTCTGTCAAAACCTATTTACGCTATAAACGCCTATAAAATTACAACTAGATAAAGGCAAAAGAAGACAAAACTCGTCAGCCTAACTCACACATAGTGTTATTCAATGAAAACGAACTAGTTTTCATGGGCCTTTTTTGTTTAGAAGCTCTGACATCAGGTGGGTGTGTTGGCTCGTGTCCATAATCCTGGCACTTGGAAGCTGAGGCAGAAGGACAGTGAGTTTAGTAACAGCCTGATCGAGCTACAAAGCAAGACTCTGTCCCAAGAAAGGATTAGGTGTCATCTACTAGTGCTTCTAATTATGTTTGGCTATGAAGTCTTTGGGAATCTGAGATGGGATATGCTTCTAATCCTCAGTGAGAATTGAAATATGCTACCAAAAATGAAAAGCATACACTCCAACTTTATTTGGGGAGAAATAAGGAGTGCAGTGTTCTGGGTGTCTGTTTGATGTGCAGTCGTGGGTAGACGATTTAATCTCAGAGCCCGTTTACCCTTCATTATCATGATGGGAATGCTAATCTACTTCAAAGAAAAAGAATCAGAAGAAAGTGTATGACCGTGTAGCATAGCGCCAGGCCATGGCAGGTGCCACTTAACACTACCTAGAGTTCATTGCCAAGTCAGAGACACGAGAAATAAGTGGGTTCAGTAACCTCCTGCAACACTAAACTGTCTATTGCAAGTCATGCTTACTCAGAAGCATAAAGTTAAAAGTAGATAGCCTTCAGGAAATATAAAGAGAGCAAATTTTAGGATGTAAAATATGCAAACAGATTTAATTCAGTTGCTCTTGGAACCTGTGTGCTGTGGCCAGGTCCACCTGTGCTGGGTGTTTACAGACTGGTACAGTCTGCCTGAGAAGATGACTCCCCCTCATGCCGGTCCTGCTGTAATCTGCTGCACATATATATTCTAGATATGTAGCCAGGCCACTCAAACAACATCTTGGAGGGGGGCAAAAGTTGATACCTAGCAACCTCTGATTTCCCAGCATGCTGTGAGTACCTGACAGAGACAATGGCAGGTACAGGCTCTTAAAGCCTCTTACACATCTGCCCAGGCAAATGTAAAGTCTTTTGTTCAACAGGTGTTCTCTGGGACCCTGGTGTCTAGCGAGTTCTCAAGAATAGCTAGATGACAGCGCCTGTACTCGTGGTGCATGCGTGCTAGTGAGCAGGAGTGAGCAGTCAGTGAAGCTTGTATCATAGAATGTTAGGATTTTAAGTGCATGATGGAGATTGGAGGAAGGGAGAGGAGGCTGGTGGGAGAGGTCTTCTAAGTGTGGTCAGAAAAGGCCCTGCTGATGGATAACATTTGCACAAAGCAGAGGGTAGTGAAGGGAGCTCTGCGAGAGGTGAGTTCTGCCCTAGATGGAAGAACATACACCACACACACACACACACACACACACACACACACACACACGCTAATCAGGAGTTGGTTTAGAACATATAAATGGCATGGAAATCATGTTTTTTCCCTAAATTAATACCTAAATCCATATTCTATATAAAAATGCATTAAAAGTCAGCCAGACAGTGCCACTAGGGAAAAGTTGCTGGATTCTATACCCAGACCTAGGTTTACCATTACCAGGCATATTTCTCCCGTGTCTTAGCTGCTGCCTTTTTCTCCACCAATATTGCAGCCATGCTCATAGATCAGTACTGAGTCATGGAGAAACCACGGGACTTGGGATAGAGCCTCGTTGGAGAGCTTACAAATGCTCTGTCTGGAACTACATAATATACCATTGGCTATTTTAATTCTCTTCCAAATTAATCTCTAGCTAGTGGCTTAGAAATGTTCAAACATGCCGAGCATGGTAGTGCACACCTTTAATCCCAGCACCCAGGAGGCAGAGGTAGGAGAATCTCTGTGAGTTTAAGACCAGCCTGGTCTATAAAGTGGGTTCCAGGACAGCCAGGGATGTTTCACAGAGAAACTGTCTGGGGGGGATGGGTGGAGGAAATGCTCAAACATACCTGAAATCTGACTCATATAAACAGGATCCTATGGAGTTCTCACACCATCTGTAAATGTCACTAGAAAGCTTTAGGTTCAATTCATTGTATTTAAAAAAATGTCTATTAGTCACATGCAGAATTTCTAATGATGTTAATGTAGGTCTAACTCACTTCTTAGGTCAGGTTTGAAATGACAAACTGTCAGTGTTAGATTTTATTCCAATGGCATGACCTACAAAGGAACACAATTCAGAATTTAAAGAAGTCCCCAAAAATGTAAAGGTTCAGATCGAGAATTAGAACTCTAGATTGTGGTGATAATTGTCAGCCAGACGGCTCAATACCTCACCTTTACCCTTCTCTGAGCATGGAAAATTTGAGGACACCAACTGTAGGTCTCAGCTGAGGGGAATTGTCACCTTGACTAACCTGCTTACAGCCCTGCCTGGTGGCATCCTGCTTGCCAAGGACAGTCCCATCTTGCAAAATCCCCACAGCATTGCCCTGTCCCCACTGTGGTTTGTTAAGTCTCCACTTCTGCTATTCCAGCTCTAGTTTTCCCCCAAACAAAATTACCCAAGCCTTTTCAGAGCGATAATGACACCTCCTGCATTTTAGGAAGTTGTAGCTTTTTCTCAGAACCCTGTTTGTGGAAATGATTTCTTCTCCCCCCCATGGTTGCTGGTAGGAACGCTATGAAATAACTGCATCCACCTGGGGGAGGGGCACTGACCCGTTAAGGTGACTCCGCAATAGCACAGCGCTGGTGAAGAGACCATCATTCTGCAGTCATTTAAAGGGAATTTTTTTTCTAATCTTTTTTTTTTTAAAGCAAAATCACATTTTTATTGTTTCACAAATCGCCAATAGGAGAAGGTTGAAAGCACATGGCATACTTCTTTAGATGTCCTGAAAATACTGAGGACTGCTTTGGGTTTGTTATTTGTTGTTGTTGTTTTTTGTTTTTTAAACCAGTAACTTAAAAAAAAAAAAAAAAGCAGTGAATTTGTTAGACTTTTAACACCAGCTGAGGTAATACTTGATCCCCATTAAAATCAAAGGGGGTATTCAGGAGAGACCCGGAGCCATTTCCCTTCAAGTTACTATGTATGTATATAACTCCAGTTTTCATTAGAGTGCTAAGCATTTTATGAAAGATGGTTTTAAAACCTAGTGAGTTAAATATTGATACTTTAAAAAACGATTTTGTCACACTAGACTTGGACAGCCTTGTGAAACCAGTCGAGTCCCACTATACCACAGACACACAGTTGAGCATAAATCTTTCTGTAATCAGGCACCGTCTGCTGCTTTCGAGAAAGACCATTTTCCTGTGTAGACTATAAGCACTGTCTCAGAGGCTCCATCCTGCCTCACGTAGCGTAGCCTGACAGACAGCTCTAGGTACAGCATTCTGTGATTAAAAAATGAAGGTCTATCAGGAAATTGGGGACAGGCCATGTTTTCTCAGACTCCAACCTTGTGGGCACTCTGTTGCTTGTGTGAGAAACTTTCTGGCATGCAGTTAGTTATTTCAAACTAGAGTTCAGGCACTGAGGCAACTGTTTTATAGCATGTGAGGAATTCTCTTAATTCCCACACTACACACTGCTTTTGCACTCTAAAAAACTGCTATTAGAAAATATTTCTATCCTTTGAGTGTGGGCTTTTAATAGGAGGCATCATCACTGTGTTTTCATAGCAGTCTTCTCCCTTGCACTCTATTGCAATGTTATTCTGAGCAAGTCTTATGCCAAATGCCATGTATAATGTTTGTATGGATGATTAAACTGCGCTCCTGTGTGGTAAGACTGTTTAGTTGCCGACTTCATAATTGGGATTTGATATCCCAGCACGGAGTCCACGATGTATTCAGAAATCCAAGTTGGTGTCATACATTTCATTCTGATGTGAACTTTTCTCTGCTTTCCTTTGTTCTAAGACTCCATTTTGCAATAAACGTTTTGACAGTAAACCCCTTTGTTATGTGTCGCTGTGTACATAAGATCTTTGTTAGACCGGATTCCTAACATCCTTTGAAGAAATCAGTGTCACACACATGCACATGAGTGCTAGCTTTTCTCTCCTGAAGTCTGTTGGAGTATAAATAATGAATTACTAAAGTGATGGGGCAGTCATGAGGGATTTTTTTTTATCCCCAAAGAAAACAGAAAGGCTTAGAACTCTTCTACAGCAGATGCACTGATATGTTAACAGGGTACAGAAACCGTGAAGGCGATGGTGAGCCTCTGTGTGGCTGGAGATCATTAACTCTTAGCCCCTGTCTTGCCCAATTCAAACCGTCTTGCAGCAGCGCCTGGTCCCAGCCCTCCTCTCACTGATCTTTGCAAGCATCTGCAGACTCCTGCTGGAGGGAGCATCAGGCAAAGCTCAGGTCTTCCCTTTGGCATAACCTTGATGAGCTGGCCACAGCGCAGCAAGAACTCCACTGTCCTTCCCACATTAAAACTGAAGGTGTGCTTATTTCATTTATACTCTTTATTCAAGAAATGCTTATTCCTCAGTTTCGTTAGCACATGTGGAAAGTATATAAAAGTCAAAACACCACACACACATACATGGGCATACACAACATCACATCCGCACATGCCCTGACATCCTGCAGAGACCAGCCTCAACGCAGGGCAATACTTCTATATGGTATCTCAATGTCTCTTACTTTACGTTTGTATCCATGGTGGACAAAAGGGGTGGCATGTTTCTGCAGCTGTATGCAGCTGCCCTGCGAAGAAGTAAAGCTTGTCATGTGTTTCTTTGATTGAGATCAACTTCAGATGAGCTTCCTTGGGTCCCTCGTCCACACTATTAAAGTGAGCATGCTGGGTGACTCCTTCATAGTGCGTGTGTAGAGGGTATGTGGAAAATACTACTGACTCAAGCCTTTGCTGTATGTCCTTGCAACCTATATGTAGTATCCAGAGTCTGCACATTCATGTTTAAAATAATAAAACCTGCTCTGCTGCACTCAGAATTGGCTTCCTTCTCTTTTTCCTCCAACACAATTTCACCTCATCCTGTGCTCCAATTAAGTGAGCATGTCATACCCACTCCTGTGGCCAGTATCTATCTAGTTGTTCTTCCTTGCCTTCTCTTTTTCCCCAGGGCCTGCCATCCCCAGCTCAAGCCACTTTCCCTGACATATGCTGTGGTACATCGGTCTTTGTATGCCTATCAGCACTGAGTAGACTACCAAACAATTTGGCAACTGAATAATGCATCCTTCATTCTATAATTTTATTCATTCTATAAGTTAGTATGATAAAATTTACACAGGTGGGGCTAGAGAGAGAACTTGGTTGGTAAAATGCTTGCTTTGCGTAAATGAGGACCTGTGTTCAAGTCCAGAATATACATAAAAAGCCAGCTGTTGTGGCCAGGGGCAGAGAGGCAGATAGGTCTCTGGTGCTCACCAGTCAATCAGCCCAGCCTAATTGGTGAGCTCTAAGCCCGTGAGGAGTATCTGAGGAATTACACCCAAGGTTTTCCTTTGGCCCTCAAACATGCATGTATCTACACACATACTCATGTGTACATGCCAATGTACCAAGTATAGTGCATTAATAACAAAAAATGATAAAATGGGCCTCCCCCAAATATAATCCACAGATGTTTCACTCAGTTCTAATAAAATTCTGTATAGGGATTATGCCTTTCCTTAAGCTTGTGGTTATACAATAAATACCTCTAAGTTGGAAAGATTAACTTAGCCACCATCAGATTGTCACACTAGCAGTAAACGTAACTAAATTCAACTTTTTGTCTTTTCTTTATTTTTATTGTTCTTTGAAAATTTTATGCATGTATGCAAAGTATTTAGATTACATCCACCCCCCATCAAATTCTTTTTCCCAATTTGCTCACACACACACACACACACACACACACACACACACACACACAAAATTGTTTGTAACAGAGGCTGGGTGATATTTGGCATATTCTTTCATGAATAATCATCCTCACAAGTCAAACTGGTTGAAGCTATTGGCTATACCACACTGTAGCCCATAGGATACCGGCCTTTTCAAGTTATGAAAGTATTTGCTATTCAGCCCATAGCCATGGGATGTGAAAAGTTCTCTGGCATAGGCTGAAGTGCTCTACAAGTCCCCATCCCACATGTGTCCCTGACATGTTTCCGACTGTGTTGGAGCAACTCTGAGCCCAGATGCCTTAAGACAGTTCCATCCTCCCATGTCAGCCATGTAAGGGAGATGTTTAAGCCCCTAGAAACCCCTGTGAGAACAGGCAAAATAAATCACCTGACTACTTATGGTTGTTTTGGAATTTTTGATGGTAAATTATCCTATTATCCTACTTCTGGCTGAGAATTCTTAGGCTGCTCTGGTAGCTGGTGAATGTCAGAAAGGCCATGATTCTAAGGCCTTGCTGTGAGATGTATAGCCAGTCCTGCCTGCCAAACCCCATGCCAAAGAAGACTACATCAAGTTGTACCAACCCCTTAGAACAGCTCGTAAGGTAGAATGGATTGTTGCCAGGAATTCATTTACAAATCGGCTGCAGGGCTCAGCATCCTTGGACACTGAGAACCTCCTCTGAAGGTTGAGGAAACTGTCTTCCTCTCAACCTAACCCTCCAGAGGAAGCCAGAGCAGCAGGAGAGCTGATATGAGAAGACAAACCAAAAAGACTAGGATAATATTGCTTCCCTTTTTCATTTCCTTCGTATCTTCCACGCAGCTGCTGCCTTCCTTTGAGATCAGTGCATGGACTGAAGACGATGTGGTAAGCTGCTTCTGTTAATGCCTCATGGATCTGGATAGGAAGCCAGCAGATTTGTCCACAAGTTTGGAGATGCAGTTAGAGCTGGGTCTAGCTAGCAGAAGTTAACAAACTCCTCTTTTTGTTTAAATAATATAACAGTGATTGAAAATAAGGACTCAATAGCAAAAGCAATTAGCTCTTCAAATCTTATGAGGGTTTCATCTTCATAACTGGCTGTGAAAATACTCCAGAATATAGTAATGCCAATGGCAAGATAAAAGCTATACTATATTTTATAATTTCTATATACATATACTCCATGTACATATATATATGTATATATGTATATATATGTATGTATATATATGCATATATATATATATATAGAGAGAGAGAGAGAGAGAGTATACACACACACACACACACACACTCCAGAATATAGTAGTATATCAATAGCAGGATAAAAGCTATGATTCAGAATGACAAGTACACATACTTGAAAAAAATTCAATTCTTAAACTTCTCTACAACACCAGTGGTAGACTTGAGCATACAGGAGAGAGACCATAACGGGCTGGAGTTCCCTGCACAGGTTCCCCTCCCACCTCAGGCCCGCTCATTAACTGACAAGATGCCTAACTGCCTTCCTTACTCTGGCCTTCCCCGAGAGGAATGGACAGAGTATGCCCCATAATCTTACATCCCAGGAGGCATGATACTTAAGTCTGCAGGAAGGCTCCATGCAGCTCTGGGTAGACTCCCTGAGGAGCAATCCCGGGTAGCCAGTTCTCTCTCCATATCTGCTTCCTTAATGGCAAAACAATTTTGAGAACTGCTGATGAGAGACTTCAGGGACCCTCGCCTGTCCAGATCCATTTTATAAGCTCAAGGGCATCATTAAATGCAGAAGAAAATAAAGATGAAATGCTAGCTAGTTCTAGCAAGGATGTGCTCCACCCTAGGGAGACAGACACCCCAAGGAGTCTCAAGGAAAAGTCATGATTAGGAATTCCAGGAGACCTGTTCTAGACGTCAGCCTGGTGTGGGGCTGGGGTGTGCCCCCTCTGCCCTTTGTTTTTTTTATGAAGTGAGTTTCTTGCTGCTTTAGGCAGCTGCGTGGGTCCCACAAAGCAAAGAAGCCAGCTTCCTGTTTCTCCCCTTCCTTGAACACTAGAAGCTGAGCCTCTTGCCAGCCCTGGCCCTGTATGTAATTGCTTCCTCCCCAGCTACAAGGGTGGTCCATCTCCTTTGAAAGGAAAGTGATTTGAAACAACTGAGTTCTGGGAGCTATTTTTAGTCTTTGCTGCAAGGTTAAGTGGCTCACATGCCATTCAGCTAAAAGTCCATTGTCTAGGGACCCAGGGAACCAGAGTGACTGAGTCTGGCCTCTTCTCTGTGTGTCTTCACCAGGGTAATGTTAGGTCACTGGTAAACAGGTGCCAAATGATATATACAAGGACAAGGGACCCCTAGGTGTAACCACCTCACTCGACACAGAAAGTACCATCTTTTGCATGGCCCCCAAATGGCTGCCATGGCCGAACAAGCTAATGGGAGTCGTCATCCTGTCCATCTCTATGTCCACTTCTGGGTGGTCCTTGTTACTCGTGCAGTTCCTGAAATAAGTATGGTAGCAGTCTACCTGCATGTATAATGGAAAAGTCACTATAGGAGCTCCTCTAGGAAAGATGTACACTTTCGCTCAAGGAAGTCTCTCAACTGCCCAATGCCCCCTACGGGAAGAATATCTCCAATTTGAGAGCTTGAGGCTTTAAACTCCAAAGAGAACTCTTTCATCTCTCCCTTGTGGCTAAGTTAAAGACATCTGAATCTATTGGAAACTGTTTTCTTGTTGAGAATGGCTACTGCCTGTATGTGACCCTCCCGAACCATGTGTGTCCTCTCTTCGCAGTATTTTTGGGTTCAGCAGCTCGTCAGAAAAGGCAAGTGAAATAAATTACCTTCGTATTTACAGAGTTAACTTTGTCGGGCTATGATTTATCCTCATTTCCTGCCTTCTGCACTTCTCTCCCAGGTGACTCTTCAGTAGAGATGAGTGGGTATGCAAGCTTGTTTAAGGAAAACAACATCACAGGCAAGCGGTTGCTGCTTTTGGATGAGGAAGATTTGAAAGACATGGGCATTGTCTCCAAGGGGCACATCATCCATTTTAAGGTACCCGGTGGGAGAGTGTCAATAAATCAATGTGTGGTATGGTGAGCCATGTGTG